TTGTTGGGTTTTTCTCTGTATCTATGAAGCGCCTTGAGGCGACTTTTGTTGTGATTTGGCGCTATATAAATAAAATTGAATTGAATTGAATTGAATTAAATGCAGTTTGTGCTTCAGCAAAAACCAGATTCTCACTCAAGCTGACTAAAGAAAATAAACATCTTAAAAAAGAAAGAACTAAACACAGAAGTGTGGCCATCTGATGTGACCAGTTAGGGGCGAGGGGAGGAAGACAGAAGAAACTTTTGTCTTCTCTCGCCTTAGTTTGTGTTTTGTTCTTGTCTCTCTGAGCTCATCTCTTCTCTTTATCCTCACCCTGCAACAAGTCATGGTAGATGCTCCTCCTGGAACCTGTTTTCACTGGGAGGATCTTTGTGTAAAAGGGAGTTTTTCCTTCCCCCCATCACCAAGTGTTGCTCACATTGGATCGTCAGATGGTTGGGGCTTTCTCTCTAATATTGTAGGGTGTTACCTTACACTGTTAGACAGCTTGAGATCACTGTTGTTGTCTGTTGGGAATTGTCAGTTATAAATAAAGCTAACACACTCTGGCTTCCGGTCGAGTGAACGCTGGCACGCTTGGCTGCCGCTGCTCACCAGTTATTATTATTACTATTACTATTTTTATTATAATTTTTTTTTCAGTTGTTGATGACAATTTGAATCAAGTATCTAAGGCGCAACCCTGTTTTGACTTGTTTTCGCAATATTTGCGGGTTTCTATTGCTTGCGCTGCAGCTATCAGCTGGTTGTTCGGTCCCTCCGTTTGTGTTCAGTGCTCGGCCCTGATTAAGATGCGGATCCACAGGGTGTTGGTGTGGCTCGTGCTCACCTGGGTTTTTTTATCCATCATTCATCACCCGGCGACAGCTCTTCTCCAGTACTCTGCTACGGATCTTTTGCGGCTCCGTTTTTGCCTGGCTGTCTCTCCACCTGTGGCTCTATACTTCTACCCGGACATCGCCTTCCAGCCCCGTTGCAGGTATATCCACTGAGGACTTCGGCAGAAGTTCAACATCAGTGACACTAACTCAATATTTTCCATCTGGTCAAAAACTCGCGTCCTCCCTGCAAGACTGACTGGGCTGTTGACCACAGTGTGCTGGCCCACCTGGCTAGGTCAACTAAGCCTACTGTCCGGCATGGTAACTCCAGCATCAAGTTTGGTCTATTAAACATCTCTCACTGGTAAGGGGCATCTCGTCCATGATCTCCTCTGTGATCGTAAGTTGGACTTTCTTTGCTTGACTGAAACATGGCAACAGCCCAATGACTATGTTTCTCTCAATGACTCTACTCCATCTGAGTTTGTTTACACCTGTCAACTTCGGGGAGGGGCGGAGGTCTCGCGATAATTCACCGGAAGCACTGGAAACTACTCCCTGTCTCTGCCCCTCCCTCCCATTTATTTGAATACACTGCACTACAGCTCCCTGGATCTACTCCCACCATCATATGTACTGTATCGGCCACCTAAGCCAAACAAGGAGTTTTTAAATGAATTTCCTGCTCTTCTCATTCATTTCTCTGTACTTTCTCCAAATCTGATCATTGTTGGTGACTTCAATATTCATATGGACAATGATAAAATCCCTCTTTCCAGAGATTTTACCTCCTGCCTGGAAAGTTTTGGGCTTCTACAGTACATAAAACTTCCTACCCATTCCAAAGGTCATATCCTGGATGTGGTCTGTTGTTCTGGCATTACCCCCACCCATTGTAAAGCCATACATTTCCCCAGTCTGGTCATATGTTTATTTCTTTTGATGCAATCATAAGCGCTTCCAAAACCTGTATCTCTCTCCTCCAATTTCCTCAAACTCAACAGTAATAAAACTGAAGTTTTACTTGTTGGTACACCATCTATCTTAACCAAATCCCACAGCTTTTCCATTAACATTGAACGTTCTCCCACCCTTCCCTCCCCTCAGGTTAAGAGTTTGGGTGTCATACTTGATAATACTCTTTCATTCCAGTCTCAATATTAATTACATAACCCGGTCTGCATACTTTCATTTATGTAATATTAACCGACTCCGTCCCTTCCTTACTCCCCATGCTGCTGCCATCCTTGTCCATAGTCTTATTACGTCCCGTATTGATTACTGTAATTCCCTCCTATTTGGTCTCCCTAAAAGGTCCCTTCATAAACTCCAACTTCTTCAAAATTCTGCAGCTCGGGTCATAACTTGCACTCCGTTAAGAGCTCATATTACCCCAGTTCTTCAGCAGCTTCACTGGCTGCCCATAGAAGCCAGGATAAATTTTAAAATCTTACTTCTTACATACAAGTGTATCCATAAATCTGCTCCTTCATATTTGTGTGACCTGCTCCATATCACCACTGTTTCCCGCCTTCTCAGATCATCATCTGCTATTCATCTTACTGTTCCGTCCTCACACCTCATCACTGTGGGGAGCAGAGCTTTCAGTCGCTCTGCTCCCCGGCTCTGGAACTCTCTTCCTCCTGCACTAAGAAATATTGACTCCCTCTCCGTATTTAAGACACAGCTCAAAACATCTGTTTAAACTGGCTTATTTGCTTTAATGCTGATTTTATCTGTTGTCAAGCTCTGTTTTGTAATTTTAACTTATTTAATGTATTTTATGACTATTGTTCCTTTTATTAATTGTGTTTTTTGTAAGGTGACCTTGGGTTTCTGAAAGGCACCCTCAAATAAAATGCATTATTATTATTATTATTATTATTATTATTATTATTATTATTATTATTATTAAATTATTGAATGGATGGAAATGGATAGATGTTATTGTACCTGACAAACAGAAAATCGTTCACAGATAGACTGTTGTTTTGTGTGTCTGCAGTCTGTCAGGCTGTCTGATCACAGAGGAAGGCTGTACTTTTCTGGCCTCAGCTCTGAGCTCCAACCCCTCCCATCTGAGAGAGCTGGACCTGAGCTACAATCATCCAGGACCCTCGGGAATGACGCTGCTGTTGGCTGGACTGCAGGATCCAGGCTGGAGACTGGACACTCTCAGGTATGGAGAGAATGTCTAGTGTTAGCCTAACTTTAGCAAAAGAAATAGTTATTATTTTAAAACCAGAACTGTGGTAGAAGATGACTATTACAAGGAGATTTATTTCTGTACATTTAAATTCAAACAGCCTTGCAGAAATGCATTTATGTATTTCCAGTGCTTTTCATACACAAAGGGCACAATGTGCTTTGAAAAGCCGACATACGGCATAGAATAATGGAACTGTAAACTGTAAATAAATACATTTAGGGACGATCCAGGTGGAAGATACAGAACCAGAAAGGAAGCGACAAAAAGGAGCATTTTTTCGCTCAAATGCAAAAATCCAAAATGAGGAAACGCAAAGTCCATAAAACAGAAATCCAAAGCAAGCACAAGAAAAGAGGACAGTATATACACTGGGAGCTACCTGCAAACAAGAGACAGTGCAGACGGTGAGAGAGTGTTTGGTTGGTGAGAGACGAGCTGATTGGATGGTGTGTACATGTCAGGATTGGTGACTTTTTAAATTGTTACTGGATGGTATTGCTGCTGCTTTTGGTTGTTGTCAGATTAAGGATTTTGATTGAGGATTACAAACTTCAGATTTGTGAAGGAGCGGTGGTAGGGGTACTGACCGACAGCCTGTATAGGTCGGTACTGGTACCCTTGCCTGTTTCCGGAAGGTCCTGACAAAGAAAGCAGCCAGTGCTTGTGACCAGCTGGAACCAGACGTGAAGAATAGCAGGATGCAGAAAGTATTGCTGCCTTGTGGAAGGTGCGTCTAAAGACCTGAAGAAGAAAGTGAGGAAAACATCAAATACTGAGCAGAAGAAACTGGCAGAGGCAGTTTTTCACATGTTATCTGTCTACAGGAAACATGGCTTAAGCTGAGGTTAGATGTAGTTTACCATGGGTAAACTGCAGTGAAATATGATTGGCTTGATGCTGCTGGTGGAGGTTCTACAACATTTATTAAACCAAAAATCACATACACTTAGTCCTAACACTGCAGCACACTGGTTGGGAAACACTGATCTAGAGCACCTGTCAGAAGACGTATAGTTAGTTAGGGAGGCTCGCACTCTAAATAATCTTTATAAGCCTTGTAAAAAAATAATAAAAATAAAATACAAGTTCATTGTTGGGAAACACGAAAGACCTCAAGAGTAAGAAAATAATGCTGTTTGGAGACTTCAGTGCTCACAGTACACTCTCGGGAAGAGAAACAACAGATGGAAATGGTGATAGAGGAGCTAATAGATAAGAAGCAATTAGTCTGTCAGAATAATGTTCTCCCCTCTTCTGTGGAACCAGCTTCCAGTTTGGATTCGGGAGACAGACACTATCTCTACTTTTAAGATTAGGCTTCAAACTTTCCTTTTTGCTAAAGCATATAGTTAGGGCTGGACCAGGTGACCCTGAATCCTCCCTTAGTTATGCTGCAATAGACGTAGGCTGCCGGGGGATTCCCATGATGCATTGAGTTTTTCCTTTCCAGTCACCTTTCTCGCTCACTATGTATTAACAGACCTCTCTGTATTGAATCATATCTTTTATTAACCTCTGTCTCTCTTCTACAGCATGTCTTTTATCCTGTCTTCCTTCTCTCACCCCAACCGGTCGCAGCAGATGGCCGCCCCTCCCTGAGCCTGGTTCTGCCGGAGGTTTCTTCCTGTTAAAAGGGAGTTTTTCCTTCCCACTGTTGCCAAAGTGCTTGCTCATAGGGGGTCATATGATTGTTGGGTTTTTCTCTGTATCTATGAAGCGCCTTGAGGTGACTTTTGTTGTGATTTGGCGCTATATAAATAAAATTGAATTGAATTGAATTGAATTGAATAATGAACAGGGACCTGGGTCAATTTCAACTCAGGGAAAGAGTCTGTGCTGGAAACAGCATTCAGGCAGCTGAAAAGAAGCAAATTATAAAAAAGCTCAGCAGTGGTGAGGAAAGAGTTAAGAAAACTAAAAGGATGTACTGGCAGGAATACTGCAGTACTTTAGGAAGAACCAATTCAGGATGTGTGGAGTAAAGTTAAAAACATAAATGGAGTCAGGAAACAACAACAATATCCAGGACTAGTAGGTCATGGAGCTACAGGAAGTATAGATTGGGGGAAAAGAAGCAATGCTGGCTAAATAATCTGATGAAATCCAGAGATGAAAAAATTGAAGTGATGAAGGTAAATGTGAGAGAGAACAAAAAGGAATCCTATTGAAATCTTAAATGAGGAAAGTCCTGAAGAATAGTTCTAAAGTTCAGTTTACAACATGTGAATTCAAAGCAGCTCTGTATAAAAATGGCTTCCAGTGTGTAACATCATGATGAAGCAATTAGAAGATGAAGGTCTCAGTGCTCTGAAGCAGGAAGCTGGAAACTAATGATTCCAGATGTGAAACCAGGGAAAGAACAGAATAGAATAGAATTAGAATAGAATTCAACTTTATTGTCATTGCACATGCACAGGTACAGGGCAACGAAATGCAGTTTGCATCCATCCAGAAGTGCTTTAGCCATGATATAGATGATATAGATATATTACAATATATATTAGCAATAATATAGATATGTAAGTATATTACAGAAATGGGTCTATTATGGTATGTTATAATGTACACAGTATGAAGTATGTTATGAATATTCTATAACTATAAGTATGTACAGGCTGTAGTGAGTACAGGCTATGAGCAGGATATAAATATGAAAAAATATACAGAAATCTGAGATATACAGTTATACAGAAATGTGAACTATGCAGGTTATAAACAGTTGTAGGATTAAAAATGATCGTATGTACAGAATGATTATTTACACAGAACTATACAGTAGTGCAGTTAAGATCAGTGAGATATGTGGATGATTTCTACAGAGGCTATAAAGTGCTGGTGGTTGTGAGTGGTGGTTCAGTCCATGTTATTATTGTGTATTTGAGGGTACAGTTGTCCATTGTGTGTGTGTGTAGGTGGTTGTGGGTGTGTGTATGTGTGTGTGTGCGTGTGTGTGTGTGTGTAGGTGGTTGTGGGTATGTCCAGTCCATGTGTTAACGTGGGTCAGATGTCAGGAGGCAGAGTTCAGGAGTCTGACAGCTGTGGGGAAGAAGCTGTTCCGGTACCTGGTGGTCTTAGTCTGGAGGCTCCTGTAGCGCCTCCCAGAGGGCAGGAGGGTGAAGAGTCCATGTGATGGGTGACTGGGGTCTTTGATGATTTTCCCAGCCCTTTTCAGACACCGCTTCCTGTAGATGTCAGGCAGGAAGTGGTGCTCCGGTGATGCGCTGGGCAGTTTTCACGACTCTCTGCAACGCCTTCCGGTCCGAGGCAGAGCAGTTCCCGTACCAGACTGTTATACAGTTGGTCAGGATGCTCTCGATGGTGCAGCGATAGAAGTTCACCAGGATATCTGAGGACAGGTGGTTCTTCCTCAGAGTCCTCAAGAAGAAGAGGCGCTGGTGAGCCTTCTTGACCAGCTTGGAGCAGTTGGTCGTCCAGATGAGATCCTCGGAGATGTGGAAAGATAATCCACTAACATTTTTTAATGCACAAGTTAATGTGATTTTTGTGAGCAGACATACAGTCTGTTCTGTACAGAAGTAAAATAACTTAATCAAAATAGACGATGTCATTTCTTGAGAAGTGGTGGAATTGTTGCTACTGCTGGACTTCGTCTGTGGCTCACTGCTGCTAATAAAAAGTTAGAGGTAAACAGGTTGGCTAAGAAAGCTGAAGGGAGGCGGCTCATCAACAAGTGGACCGCCACTTTTTTAGGTCACAGGCAGAATAGGCAAAAGTAAAGACATTATGAATTTAAGTAGTACAGATACTAATGTTAAAAATACTACAGTAAAAGTTGAACTTGAACTTCTTCACTCAAGGAAAAGTAAAAAAGTACAGGCTCTGAAATGTACTCAAAGTAAGAAAGTAAAAGTACCTCGTTTCTACCTTCTATTTTTGTTCAAAGCTCATTGAACCTTGTGCTATATTAATATAATAATAAAATATCAGTAGATGGGAATAGAAACTTCAGTCTAATTTTTAATTCTAATTTTATTCAGCTTTAATAAGAAGGAGAAAAAAAGGAAAATAAAAATATATTTCTATTTTCCATTTTTTCTAGATGGTATAAAGTTGGCAAGAAGGTGTTCATATGAATCTTTGCTACACTTAATATAACCTAACTCTTACCATGAAATCACAGCCACTGTGCACCAGTCACACACTGTTCTTTTAATCCATCACAGTTCAGCAGACTAACCTCTTTATCCTGCATTAAAATGCAGAGGATTTTCATGCAGCCTGCCTTTTGTTGTGTTGTAAAATAGTGCTGGTATGCACAAAGGGTTGAGGTGTAACAACTTTTAACTTTTATTAACAACCTTGGTAGTCATTATTTGCTTAACTTTCTCTCAAACAATATTTTGTAACTCGGAAAGTGTGTGGCCAAATGTAATTCCTGGCAAAATGGTAAAAGGTATGAACAAAATTCTTGGATTGTAAGCATCAGTAGTGTCTGAAGATATATTGGCACAAGGATCATGTCTCTACATCGTATGGTTTAAGAGATGTGACGATTTAACAACGTGTCCTGCTAGAGAATTCCAGCTCTGATGTGCAGTGAAGTCTCCACATAGTGTCTATGGGGAAGCTGAAGGCTTTGTTTTGCTTTGAGGCCATTTGGCAGAAATCTGTAACTCCCACATCAACATTTTCTTAAAATGTTTTGATGTATAATTTGTGTCAACAGAGAGAAATTTGAGCAAGCAAGAAGAATTAGTTTGGACATGAAGAACAGATTCAGAAAGCTAGAGTGGCAAACACTAGCTGAGCTGCATAGCAATCATAGCAACGCATGTATTTTCAGAAAAATCCTCACGATGCCACCCAAGACATAACAGGGATTTTAGGAAAATGGTAAAAGATAAGAAAAAGCTGAACTGTACAGTAATAGCCTAATAATTAGAGAATGTTTTAAAGTTGGTGTTTGTACATGAAAGTATGGGCAAATAGTTAAGCTTTAAAAACAAGCAAGTTTTAGCGGAATTTGGGATGTTTTCCATTCATTTCAATTGGAGAAAAAAAAGCAAATAAAACCTTAATATTTTATAAAGTATAAAAAGATATAGCCACCATAACCAGATATAGTGAAATATTTTAAAATTTGAATTGTGAAAATAGCACAAAAGTTGTGGACGTAGTTCAAGAGCAAAAAACGAGAGCAACTTCAAGAATAGGAACTCAATAGTGTGGATCACTCAGCATTCACAAAATCGTAAAGACGAACAGGAACACTATAGTGTGAATCCCACAGCATTCACACAACAGGCCTTTCTGAAAATATAAGGAGCAGAAAGTACAGATATTTGTTTAGAAATGTAGGAAGTAAAAGGTTTTCAGAAAAGTATATACTCAAGAAAAGTAAACAAAATTAAGTACACTAACAGTATTTGTACTTCAGCTGTACTGTACCTGAGATAGTGGCCACTGTGTACCTAATGAAGTGTTAGCCATGGTAAATGGTTGTTTCCCATGCTGTATGTCCACAGTCACAATGACAGTCAGTGACACTGATAGAAGGATGAACAGGTTTAGATAGGTTGAAAACATGTCTAGTCTGAGAAAGAAACAAGGCTGTGAATCATTTCAGTCTGTGTGTGTGACAAAGAGGCAAATAGGAGCAGCTAACATTTGAAAGTGGCAGCTTTAATACTTGAAACTTTGATAAGCTAATGCTGATAAGCTCATGCTGTTTATGAGCCGTGTTAAAATCAATATTGTATTCTCATTCTTTAGTTTGACAACAGTAACAGAAAAATATGAACTTGAGAACAAACTTATTTTGGATTCGGCTTTGAATGTGGTTAAGAACCACTCAGAATATAGAAACGTGGGCTACCTAGCATTGGATGGAAATGGTGATGGAAATGGTGCCTCTTCGAGGCAGTCCGAAAGTCTTTTTACATGGCCTCTCCGAACTCCTCCCACACCCAAGTTTTTGCAAAGAAAAAAAGAAGAAAAAAGAGAAAGAAAGGCAAGAAAAAAAAGAAAAGCAAGAAAAAAAAAGCATTAGATGGTCACATGGTTAAAAAGCAAGGGAAAATGCATTAGCTTTAGCGGTTAATGCTTATAAGAGCTGTCCCACAGTAACATTATCCCCGAGAACACTTCAAATAAAGCCTACACTTAAACTGAGAGTGATTTGTGTTGGACAAAATATGCTTTGCTGCTAATCATCCACAGCAGTACAATTTGTATAGTGTTCTAAGCTTTCTGTTAGCTAGCAGTGAGGGGGCGGGACTATGTACTGTCAGAGAGAGATGATTAAAACCAATTAGATGATGATAATCAAATAACTCAGCTCCTTAACTGGCATTGGCTGCACCTATGTCAGAGGAGCTATTGAGGTACCATGGTTACATGAGCTCAGAAACCAGAGCTATTGAATGGAAAGTTGTGTCAGTGGAGGTTCGGAATGCAGGATTCTCACATGGTTCACGCAGACGCTGTGCATGTGGAGAAATCTGCTGTTAAATCAGAACATGAACAAGTTCCAGGTGGCATTAAAATGCATTAAAACAATGCTGCACTCATTCAGTGGTCAGAGGTCATGTACAGTAACCACATTGACAGCAAGTGGAGAAAAACAGCTGGCAGCAAAGACAGGGAGGTTTCCTTTCCAGCTAAACAGAAGAGGAATATAAAGATGATAAAGGCCGCAGTTTGAATCAGTCATGTTTTATTCAATACAGTGGTGTACTGACAGGTCCAGGATCAGTCCAAATAATCAGCAGTTTGATCCACGTCTGGAGTGTATTTGTGAAAATGTTGGACTGTTCCTTTATCAGTGTGTAACAGTGTGTGTATGAGAGCCATGTAATGTCCATGTGTGCATGCTGACTGTGCTGGTTTGACCCCCCTCCTCCTTTCAGGGTGGAGCCTGCTGGAGTCCGATGGTTGAGACCAGGTCTGAGGAAGTGTAAGTGTGTTTTTAATGTGAATCATGAAAACAAAGCAGCACACATTCAACCATCTTCATCATGTCAGGAGTCATCATCAAAGTGTCAATCAATGAACAGATGATGGATCAATAACTGCAGCTGGATTGTGTTTGTTCTCTCCATCAGATTCCTGTCAACTCAAAATCAACACAAACACAGTGAACCGATACCTCAAACTGTCTGACAACAACAGGAAGGTGACACATGTGGAGGAGGTTCAGTCATATCCTGATCATCCAGACAGATTTAATTATTTTTATCAGCTGCTGTGTAGAAATGGTCTAACTGGTCGCTGTTACTGGGAGGTCGAGTGGAAAGAAACTGTTGAGATATCAGTGAGTTACAGAAAAATCAGAAGGAAAGGAGATGCTTTTGACTGTGTGTTTGGATGGAATGATCAGTCCTGGAGTCTGATCTGCTCTGAGGATGGTCCTCTATATGTCATGCACAATAACAGACTAACATCCATCTACTCCTCCTCCTCCTCCTCCTCCTCTGTCTCTAACAGAGTAGCAGTGTATGTGGACTGTCCTGCTGGCACTCTGTCCTTCTACAGAGTCTCCTCTGACTCTCTGATCCACCTCCACACCTTCAACACCACATTCACTCAAACTCTTTATCCTGGGTTTGGGTTTAATCCTGGTTGTTTAGTGTGTCTGTGCTGAGTTGAGTGTAAAGAGTGTCCTCCTGTTAGAGAAACACTCTGAAAATTACATTTATTCATGTTACATTTTCTCTATAATTAACGGATATTTTCCATTAATAGAAAAATTGAAAATTCTGTTTATGTTACTATTTACAGGCACTTTTTAAAACTTTAACCAATTAAATGTACTTCTTTATATCTTTGACCATATATTTCTATGCAATTGCAACCTAATGCACCATTTCCTCAAAAATTCGTAAATTTAAACTTCTTCTGTGTGTTTAGTACCAAACAACATTGGAACATTTAATGTCAAATATTATTTTATTCTCCTTAAATCAAAAACTAAAATAAAACGACAGCATCCATCTCATCATAAAATGACTAAACAGCTGAGACTAAATGTGTTTGTTAAGGGTTGCTGTATGAATAAAGCTGAAGAGATCTAAAGCTGTTCCTGAAGTTTGGCATTATTAGAACAGGATGGATGGATGAGCACAGCTCTCTCAGCACAGGGCTGACAGGACGTTTTTATACCAAACTTAAAGATAAAAGTAGATTTACTGGATTTGATTTTTCAGTTCTTGCTTTTCAAAGACAGTTAAGATTTATTTTTTATTATTGTCATTTATGCTTAGAAACATATAATCATTTATGCTTAAAAGTATATAATTGTTTGTAGATTGATAGAGGTTTGATCCTTAGCAGTCTGTAAAGACTCTGTGTGCCTTCCAGAGTGTTCTGGCATGCACATACACAGCCTAAGATCATGAGAGAGGTCGTACCTTCTCTTTCTGATTTATGGTATAGGAGGACACCTACTCTTTATCTGCCTAAGTATAAGAGCCCTTTGTTTAGATGGACTGCTGCGCTCCTAGCACCAGCTGTGGGGAGTCTACACAGAAACACACACACACACACACACATACCTACACTATGCACAGACTGGTACTCTTTGTTCACATGCATGCCTGTGTAAGATGTCATATGTTAATGAACCTATGCATATTCATGTAACCACAATAAAAGGAGCGCTACAGGGAACCTGACTGAGAGCCTGATGGAGGTCAAGCGGGCGGAACAACGACTTCAGTCAGGTCTCCCTCATGCACGAGCAACACAAAGAACTTCGCCGACTTGGGGGGGGGGAGAAGTACAGGCCACTTTGTGGGGTGCTGTACCAGTAAATTCTCCGCCGCTTTGTGGGGTGTCGAGAAGTTCTGCGGAGTCCAGCTGTGGTGGACAATAGGCCTAATTTGTGTTGTTGTTGTGTGTGTGCTTTTGTGTGAGTTAATGCCAAGCAGCACTCCTCTTTCTTGGGTTTCTGCTGCCTGAGGTATTCACTGAGCATGCTGTCAGTTGGGGCCATCTTCGTGATGTATTCTTGGATGTTCGTTGTCTCATCCTGGACTGTGGTGCTGACACTCACCAGTCCCCGGCCCCCTTCCTTCCACTTAGCGTACAGCCTCAGGGTGCTGGACTTGGGGTGAAACCCTCCATGCATGGTAAGGAGCTTTCTTGTCTTTA